CCTTTTATCCTTAAAATAAAAAAAAAAAAAAAAAAAAAAAAGATTTCTCACTCTTCTTCAGATACCAAGCATCTCCAAGATGAGTTTGCTTATAAACATCAGATTCTTAGACTATTAAATTTTAAACCAAGATTTTGTGTTTATTACAAAGGAAGAATAAAGAAAAAGTTGCTTTATAATCATATGGTGACCTGTTCTGCCTTTCAAGGAACTTGACTTTAAAATTTAGTAGAGCATTTATTGGGAAGAAGAGAGATGAACACCTGAATAGGTTTGCCAATATATTAAAGATAAATGCCTACTCTGGTAGCAAAATATCTGGCAAGAAAAAGAATGTTAATGTGAAATACACAAAAGATCCAGCTAGCAGTTATACATTTTCTCAATAAAGTTTTACTCCAAAAAAACAAACAGTGCCAGCCTTTCCCTCTGCCGCCATCACAGGAGGGGCCTTGGACTTGGGAGTCCTCAGTGAGCTGCTCGGGGGCCCGGATCCGCTGGCCACACACCCGCTGCCACCACAGGAGGGGCCTTGGACTCCGGAAGCCTGGGTAAGCTGTCTAGGTACCCAGGTCCTCTGGCTCTGCCCCCTGCCACCATCTCAGGAACGAACCTGAATCCCCAGAAATGTAGGGAGATTTGAAAATGACAAAAAGAAGAAGCAAAATGGAATCTCAGTCAAACATCCCACCCAGAACAAGCTCAGGCTGCTTGCCACTGCTCCTCCCTTTTGCTCTTGTTGCTTGGCTGTCTTCCGCTGCCATGAACTGGTGCCCTCTGCCATGTGCCACTCTGCTTCAGAGCCAGCCGAGTATGGACTGAAATCTCCACAAGCTGTAAGCTAAATAAACCTTGCCTTCCTTAATTCTGGATGTCGAGTATTTTGTCTCAGCAATGAGAGAAAAGTAACCAAGACACTGTCTTTAATTGTTTGATCAATCTTACATTCTTATGTCTGGTGGACTGAGAAACTTGGCTGAAGATAACAGTATGTAATGTAGCAACCGTTGTAAATTCCTATCATTTTGTTTTGAGGTCATGTATCGTTTTTGTTGTTTTAGTACTTTTTTTATTTTTGTCTTCATTGTTGTTTTGTCAGTTTTTTAATTTTTAAAATAAAAACAAACAGTGCCGATTAGTAAATGTTCCAGAATTGAAATGAGCATATCATAGGAACTAGTTCCCTTGCTTTATTTTTTCAGTAAATCATTTGACCATGTTATGCACTTCCTTTCCTTGGGGAAATAGTCTCAATCTGATCTGACTTTTAAAAAAAAATTACTTCACTGTGTGCAAAATACTTCTGGTATTTGTGAATTTACACAATGTTCTTAACCTCAGAGAAAAATAAATAAATTAGAGAAAAATTAAAACAAGTCCAAAGCATTAAGTACATTTTTTAAAAATCCCTCAAGCACAGGAAGAATGTAGGTACAACAGAACAACAGCCAGGCCTGGGCAAGAATTTAGAAAAATATCTGAAGATGTCAACAATAATTTTATATGAAGAGTTTTGTGCATGTGATAATCTTTATGACTTCTTCCAGAAAAGTGGAAAAGCTGCCAAAAAATAAAAAGCAGGAAAGAGGGTAGCTTATCAGAATTCAGGATTCAGCAAGGTTACTTCAGTGCAGTTAGCCATGGCCCACCTGTCAGATTCGCCATCCAGTGATAACTCCATGCCAGTCAAGAGAAGGTGGCCATGATAGCGGCTGAGGTCATATAGTGATGGAGACCACTAGAAGCAGACCTGAGCCGGACTTAAATTGATCAATTAGCTTTTCATGTTCACTTGTGAATCTGTCCAAGGCATAGGGTCCTTATCTGGAAATGGTGGACTCATAGTAAGTGAACTTCTGTGAGTCACTAATCCCTACTAAAACCTGTAGTGGTAGATAAAGCCAGAAAGCCTCAAAGGATAAGATAATATCACAGCCAAGGACACCTGGATCAGATCTCAAATGGATAAAGACTATAGCCTCAGGCATCTCATTCTTGAGTGGATTAATTTAATACTTTATTTAGAGAAGTCCTTGAGTGATTCTGCCTTTCTTGAGTACTCCCCTCCCTTCTTCTGATAACCAAATAAATATAGGCAACCCAGAGGTCTTGGTCTTAGCCCTAAGAGAATGTCAAATTCTATGAGAGGGCTCTGATCCTCCTGGAGTCCTGAAATCATTCCATTTGCCTCTTTTTATTTAGCCTTTGCTGTGCACTCATGCAGGAGATTGTGGACCTGATCAACCTGCAACAACTAAGGGATACTCTTAACCTGATAATATAGAAACATGAACATATTCTAAATTCTAAATTCTCACCTGCATAAACAGCTTAAGATGATGAAACTGTGGGAAAGATGAAAAATAATATTCTTTTATACAGCTATAATATAATATTATAAAGAAGATTTTTGAGTGGTCTTGAAGTCAAAGGAAGATGAACTCTACTACTTACCTATTCAAATCCTTCTCCTCAAGGGTAACTTTAGTTCCACCTCTGGTGTAGAATCTACACATGTGATACCATTATGAATACCTATGGAATTTAGTTCTAAAAATACATAAGAACTTTGATTTTTGCACTGAAAAAGGAAGAATAACATTCAGAGGCAAGTGAGCACAGCAGAGAAGAGAATAGATTTCAGAGTCATATACCTTTGATGTAAGTCCCAAGGTCACCACTGACCAACGCTGGAAAAGTTATTTGAATTCTCTAAACTTCAGTTTCTCCATTTGCAAAATAAGAATAGTAATTCCTATTTCACAGAGTCATGAGAAACAAATGAGGCAGCAACTGTACTTAGGATGCCAGGGGTATA